GTGTGTGTGTGTGTGTGTGTGTGTGTGTGTGTGTGTGTGTGTGTGTGTGTGTGTGTGTGTGTGTGGACCGCATGGGTGATTGACGTGCCCGATGTCTGTGCGTGGGGTACGTGGGGAGGGGAGGGCGTGCGTGCGTGCGTGCGTGCGTGCGTGCGTGCGTGCGTGCTGGCCGATGTCTGTGCGTGGGGTGCGTGGAGGGGGAGGGGGAGGGGGCGTGAGCGCGTGTGTGCAGGAAGGGGAGGGGGCGTGAGCGCGTGCGTGTGTGTATGCTCGTGCGTGCGTGCGTGCATGCGGGAGGCGAGAGTAGGAGGGAGGAAGGGAGCAGTTGTTACATACGTGCGTGCTTAGGCAGGGAATGAAGGATGGAGGGATAAGGGAGGGAAGGGGGAGGGAGGGGGAGTTAAGGAGGAAGAGATGGTGGGAGAGAGAGCGGTGAGGAAATGAGGGAGAAAGGTAGCATAAGTGCGTGACGTACAACGTGAGAGTGTGCGCGTCCGTGTGGGTATGCGCGCGTGCGTGCGTGGCATGCGTGACCTCGTGTACGTAAGTCTGTTTGATTCCACTGCAATACGTTTTAGCTGAAATGGCGGAGACTGAGTCACGTGATCGGCGGCCATTATCCGCTGAATTGGTTCGCGCGGTAAACGTAATTAATAGCAATGAATAATTCATCGGGGGAAACAGTGAAGAAGAGAGCGTGCGTTCATCATCAATGCCATCCTATAATCCTAGCATCCGCGGCTGTATCTATGCAAACAACAACACATACTCTCATGCCACGGTACGAGTTCATGCCCGTTCACTGCACACTTAATGCACCCAAGCAATAAGGAGTAAGCCTCATTTTAACAGTAGGCCTATATGCATTATGCATACGCGCTCGTGACGAAAACGTACCCCTCTAAAAGAAGTGTAGTATAACTATGTGGGAATATTGAGGCAGAATTTACCTACATTTTGGTGATCGCTGTGAAATTAATAAAAAAACGTGGCCTCAAAAAATCATCGGGTTAAAAATATTCCGAGGTTCGCGCGTGTGAACAAAATTTTACTTCTACTTCCCTTGTTTATCTAGGTTAACCATCTTTCAGGCTAACCATGGTCCAGCCACACTAGGATGGAGTGAATCTATAGCAGAGTGGAGCTAGTCTAGCTACCAGTACCACTAGTATATAGTTTCACTCCACTCGCACTTATAGTACTGTCAGGCTAACCACGAACCTGCCATAGCAAAGTCGAGTGAGTCTAGCACAAGTATAGTTTCACTCCGCACACACAGTGCGTTAATTTAGACTAACCATGGTCGGGCCATAACAGAGTGGATTGAATCTATCTAGATGCCTAAAATAATCTGAATTTGAATCTGCATGCCAAATGCCCGTGGTGTCCCACATCCCAGCCTTGCTCAACCCCATACCTAGTCTCTATACTAGAAATTAATTAATTTATATAAAGCGGTATCGATATACGTAAGCACAGGTGACCTCTACCCCAAGCACCCGGATGTAAGTAAGCGTGACTACGTGAATGTGGTGGGTGGTCTGAGGTAATGAAAATACACACACGCGTATGAATACGCATACACGCATACACACACTCTTGTACACGCACGCGCACACACGCGAGCACACGCGCGCACACACATACGCACGCACACACACACACGCGCGCGCGCACACGCACACACATACGCACGCACACACACACGCACGCACGCAGGAGCGCACACAGACGTACGCACGCACGCACGCACGCACGCACGCACACACACACGCACACACACACGCACCCGCGGCTTCGCTAACATCCTATAAAGCATTTAGAAATGTCAGAGGCTATCACATAACTTTAGTAGAAGAGCTATAATAAATCAAAGCGAAGAAGAGAGAATATCATCCGTTCGCCCTCCTTGGTCACGTCGCATCTATCAAGCTGCTGCGGTCGGCTTAGCACTGCGAGGGTGAGGAGGAATAGGAAAGGTTTATAACTACGATATAGCGCCCAAAAGCGATATATATGCTTGTATGCGTGAGAAGTGTTCGTTGAACTTAAGCGGCAAAAACCGCTTTAAAATCCTCGCCTTTCTTCGTGAATTCGTCGTTGGTAATGGATGGAGTTTTATGTGACACCGATAGAGCGAGTGTGGCGATGTAGTCACGGTGCGTATGCACGCACATAACAATCACGCACGCACGTATAGGACGCACGCGCGTAGATCAGGCACGCACGCACGTATACCAGGCACGCACACACGGATATCAAGCACGCACGCACGGATATCAGACACGTACGCACATAACAATCACGCACACACATACGCACGCACGCACGCACGCACGTCACAGGCACGCACGCACGCAGGAACCCGCCACAGGCCGGGTTGATGCGCACATAACACACATAAAGCCGTCTTCAACTACGCGCCGAGATGGAAAGAAAACAGGATTACAGAGGTCAGAGGAGGCTAGACGAACTCCCAA